CCTCCATGAAGGCCTTCTCTTCTTTCTTGCCCACGGTGATGTGAATCCCGCAGATTCCCACCTGATATGTCATCAACGTTGTCGTGTGCATCAAGCAAAAAGGTGCGGCACAAAAAAACAGCGATCAGTGTAATATATTCTGCCTCACTGTTTTCGAAACGATACGAAGGTGGACGGTTCGGCGGCCACGCCCCGAGTTCAGTCTCAGGTTTGTAAAACTGTAGTATAAAGTTGCTGACGTTGGTGGCTTGGCCAAGCTTTGGTACGCTGCTTCCAGTTTGTCTCTCGTAGCACACGCCGGTGAGACCCAAAGCAGCTGGAATACATTCCCCCTGCCCCCCCCCCCCACCCGGACTAGTGCGCGCACTCCCGCGATGTGAGCAACAATGTGAACTGTTTTCATGACTCTCTCTCTCTCTCTCTCTGCCTGCCCGTGCGTGGGATATCACCTCAACCTCGAAATTGTGGTTGGGTTCGTCCATTTCTCAACCGTTGATGAAACATTTCGTGTCAAGGCTAACTGTGCTTATTCTATTATTCATTCTTGCGGTTTCGTCCCATGTTTGCAAACCGTGTAGGCGGTCATTTCCCCCACAATCAACGAGCGATCAGTCTAATAAGTCATCATCGTTACGAACCACGTTGTCGTCGCTTAAAGCCTTCACTTTTCTCGCCTGCAAGTTGGAGTTAGTCTGGTGGTTGAGGATGGAGTTGACCAGCACGTCGGTGTCCTGCTTCTCGTTCTCCGCCTTCTCCTCTTCATTCATGCCTCTCATCTTGCCCAGAAGGGTTGTCGCGGAGCTCTTTGGCCTCTACAGTGCCAACGGGACCAAAAGCAAGATTAAACACAAACGGGCCGGCGGGGGGAAAGTGTCGACATAGGAAACGTGGATGGTGTGGTGACGGGAGGATTGGCCGGTATTGATCGCTCTCCCGCACGTTTTTCCGGGGGAAGCACCACGGGAGTCTCTAATGTTCCAGTTGAGCACAGACTTTTGCAAGCGGTAACTTCGAAACTTATTACACATCGAACTCGGTACGGAAGTACTCCATACTGGTGGTAATACTGTATCTGCGAAACAGCCATGCACCGATCCTCGTATCGTACTTCACCCCCTCTCCATCGTCTCTTCCATGTCAAGGTAGTTTGTACCACTGGCAGCAACAGCAGAAGCAATAACAGCAACAGCAGCAGCACCAGCGACAAAAATAACAACCACGACGACGAGCGTAGTCAGCAACAGCAACACCCCGCCCTCCCCCACCTCTTCCTCGTCATCCTTGTCTTCTTCTATCGCGATATGATCCTCCGTGGCCAGTTCCGGATCCTCCTGCGCGGTAAGCTTGTTCAGCTTCCGTCCGAGGGCCGACAGCACACCGCCCACTTTTTTCGCTGGGGACGCGCTTCTCTGTAGTTTCTTGAGCTCCTCGATTTTTTTCTGGCGGAGTCTGAGTGGGAGGTAGAAGATATGCACGCACATATATGTTGTTCGGTCCACGGGGTGTGGGCACACGCAGCAGTCTTTGATTAGATTGTATGGCGTCGCAACAGTTGTATCGGTATGGGATATGGAGACAACAACGACAGCAATAACAACAACAATGCTCCACGAGAGGGGGACGCACAAACACTCTTTCGTCTGTGTATTTTTTTAGCCCAATCCCATGGTCTACCTAGAGCTGGCTCATCGTTCATCAAGCAGCTGGCAGACCACGAAAAGGGAACGCCAACGTTTCAAAGGTGTACTCACCGCATCTCAGACAGCGTGCAGTGTCTATAAAAATAGAATAGAGAAAAAGCATCGCGCACGAGTGCTGCCAGGTTGGCGACGGTGTACTCTCACACTGCAGGAGGCCACCATTGCAGCGATTTACACGGGTCGCGCTGGGTTCATGAAGGCGCTGGTCGATTGGATGCAAACGAACCGCCTTGCCGCGGCGCAATCTACGGTGGTGCCATCACATCGAGCAAGTATCGAGGAAACAAAATCAACAGGATCCAAGATCCATGCCAGTTGAATCCGATCCAATCTAAGGCCGCGTCGTATTCTCCAAACAATCCAAAATTGACTTGTTGTTAGGTAGAAAAACGAACTTCACATCGTTGCCATCAATCCGTCTAAACTAGATTTTCCGCGGAAGAATGTCCCGGTTGGTTCATGGGTTCAACAGCAAGCACACCAAAAGAAAACCTATCCAGGTATGTCGAGACAGAGGGGTTTCCACATGGGCACTTCATCGGGAGGCACAGAAACAGATCAAGCACGAGCTAAAGAAGGTCCTCCGTTGCCTGCTCTTCTCGCTGCATCTCTCACTTCTTGTCGAGCGCGAGTCTCTGGTCCATCTCGACCTGTAGGAGCCTTGCCTCCTCTCTCCGCCTGTTGGCCTGCCGCCGCCTCCATCGCGCCTACCGTTAAGCAGCCGCAAGTCGTCGACACCCGGCACCAACATGATGACAACCATCAGCGACAGCACGAGAAGCACAAACAACAACGACAACAGCAACAACGCCACCGTCATCGCTATCAACACCACCAGCAGTACTAACCTTGCATCAAGACAAGCAGGAACAGCAGCACCAACAACGCCATCACCACCAACGCCACCAAACAGCATAAACCTGTATCGCCTTGGCCGCTTTCTCCTGGTTCATGAGGAACGCCTGTCGCAGAGTCGCCTCCGCCCGCTGCCGTACCAAGGCCTCTCGCTGGAGGCGCTCGAACCTGGCCCTCCTTGCCCGAGTTTCCTTCACCATGTCCCGGAACGCCTACGCCAATAATACGGAGGAGGTACGATAAGGGAAGGGGTAAAGGATCCATCCGGGCTGGTACTGGTTTTGGGTCGGGAGAGAGGTACTATTTTCTTGTCCCAAGAGGAGATGGTGGATGGTACCGTCTTGGGTGTGGTTTGGTCACGTCACGGAAGGTCTGCGGTTCACACAGGGGGAAAGGGGGGGGGCTTTCAAACACGTTGCTGCATTCTGGCTGGTGGGCGAGCATCGTCTTCGTCCGGATAAGAGTCAGAGCGCAAAGGGATAGCTGTGGGGCGGGAATGCGTCATCGCCCGGGGGTATGCCCATCAGTGCGGGAGGGGCGGTCGGGTGATTTGACGACTTCCGCGCTGTCGACGTCCGCGCTTGCGGACTGTTGTTGAGCCCAACAGGCTTTGTCTGCTGTGGCACCCTCGCCGAAGATCTGTTACTAGATAATGGTACCTTGTTCCGTATAAAGGTGTGGAGCGCCTTTGTGATGACCCTCGAGGCGTGGTTGGCCTCCAGGACATCCCTGACCTCTCCCCTCCTCGCGATGTGTCCCCTGCCCACCCTCTGGATGTTGATGGCGTTGATGGTGTACATCCGGGCGAGCTTGACGACGTAGATGCGCCTGCGGTGATTAAACGGGGGTGGGGGGGTGTACTCATAGTCGTGCATGCCGTAGTCGTTAGACCATTGACCTCGCATCCCTACAAAGCCGGGACGGAGCACGCCGGGTTCTCACCGGACCAGGCTCTCACATCACCAAGCGCGAAGCGCCGTGAGATATTCGGCGAGTCGCATGAAGGGTGCGCTGCATCCTGCTAAGGGTGTTCAACATGATCTACTTGCCCACCATTATGGTTACCGCCAACAACACAAAAGTAAAAAAAACACGGTAACCTGGTTGCCGAGTTCACGAAGCGAATTGGCTTGTTTTACCACGTCGTTGCCAACCGACGAAAACCCAATCCCGATGGCAAACAACGGGGGGGGTGAGGGTGTACTCATAGTCGTGCATGCCGTAGTCGTTAGACCATTGACCTCGCATCCCTACAAAGCCGGGACGGAGCACGCCGGGTTCTCACCGGACCAGGCTCTCACATCACCAAGAGCGAAGCGCCGTGAGATATTCGGCGAGTCGCATGAAGGGTGCGCTGCATCCTGCTAAGGGTGTTCGGCATCTTGTGCTTACTTCCTTGCGTACGGATGACAGCTGCGTATGACTAACTTTATTGTCTGGTGCTTTCACCTCCAGTGGCAGTTGTAAGCACAATGTGACTGCCTCGAGGGTGCTCGACCATTTTAACACAACGTGGTGCGATCATCCCCCTTGCGCGGAGTGAGGGTTCTCGACCCCGCACAACATGATCCACTCGACCACCATTATGGTTACCGCAAAAAAAAACAGAGATAAAAAAAAACGTGTCCACGTAGCGATTTGACTTGTTTTACAACGTCGTTGCCAAGCGACGAAACGCTAATCCATTGACCACGCGTCCTCGAGAGGATGGAGCATTGTTCCCACAGGACCGATCACCGATGGCCAATCGTTCCTT